TTATATTCACAAGGCTCACCAGTCACTTAACTATATTTAAGGTTTCGGTCAACTGCCCAGACATCACTGTGCACTCCATCTGTCCATCTGTCTCCATTACAAGGTCAGATATCAACGATGAAACAGCACAGGAGAGACTCTGGCCATCACCTAAGCAGCTGATTTTTTCTGCAGATAAGAAAATCAAGGCAGGGATCAATACAATAATGCCTTCATCTGGGCCATTCGATGAGCCGGGCTTGGAGCTGGAATTAGAAGGCAGGACTCAGCCTGGGTGGTGTGACTGTGGTTGGGTGTCAACTTATGAACTAGGCGGTCACTGTTCAATTTCCAGTCAGGGCACGTACCCGGGTTTCAGGCTTGTCCCCCAGCTGGGGGCATGTAGGAGGCAGCCGATCAATGATTCTTTCTCATCACTGATGCTTCTACCTTTCTCTCCTTCTCCTTTCCTCTCTGAAATTAATAAAATATATTTTTTTTTAAAAAAGAAGGCAGGACTCCTGGCTGAATTTTATGGCAGAAAAGAAAGCAGCTGCTCAACGTGGAAGAGTTGCTCACAAGTACTAGGAACAATTAAAATGATGACGACAATTTCCTTCTGAACCTCACACTGACTCACCTCCAGCTTTGTGGATCTGAGACATCATTGTGTTGGTTAACACTTACTTGATCCTGGATGTTGTAAATTTAACAGAGAGCAGACAATATAGAGATTATATTTTGATGATGAAGAAGCTCATTTATTGGCTATGTCTCCTCAGACTTTTAAATTAAATGGAGATCTAAAGAAATGAAAGGAGTAGTTTTTCATAAATTTCATTTCCGTCATGTGGACAATGGTGGCTAAGGAAAAAAAAGCAAGGAAAAGGGTTATGATGTTACTATTTCCTGATCTTTTGAGATCTGTCTTTTCTCCCCATTCATGCCCCTAAGCCCTGTTTTACTTGGCTCAAGTAGACACATCTTTATGACCCCAGATAAGAGGCATTTATCCTTAATCTCCTCCATCCAGAAATAAGGAAGCCAAGGTAATACACTGTTGCTCCTTATGTACTGTTTGATGTACAACGGCAATGGTTAAAGACTGAAAAAAAACAAACATGGCTTCCACCTATAACAATGCAATTAGGATGCCAAAATTTCTCTGGAACATTTTTCAAAGCTTAATTTGTGGAAATCTAATTCCGTGAAGTGCTCTGCAAAACATGGGTTTTAGTAGTCAAGTTTATTTGAAGAACAGAGTATTCTGTGTCCCCATGTAGAGACTGACAATGTGCTATAAGCTTACTAAATGCCCAGAGAGGCTTTGCCTAAGGGTGACTTAATTTCATCCAGTGATTTCAAATTCAATTGGCCTTTGCGCACATATCTTACTGAACCTCCTTTGGGAAATGCTGCTTTGTAGAATTATGATAGCTGGACACCAAGAGCAATAGTCACAAAAGGAAAAATAAAGTAAAGCTAAGTGCAATCTTTCTTCTTCATGTAGTATAGTGTTCATTTAAAAATAGAATTTAAAGTAAAATCTATATATAAAAAAGCCTAAGCAACCATTACGGCGGAACGACTGGAATGCCTGGTTGCTATGAGGTGCATTGACCACCAGGGGGCACATTCTCAATGCAGGAGCTACCCCCAGCCTGCAAGCCCTAATCATAGATGGGGCCTGCCAGCGCGCCTCCTGGTCCCTTTCTCTGGACAGTAGGCCCCGATTGCCTGATCAGGGCCAGCCCCCAGGGTTGGGACCGGGAAACATGGGGTGGGTGGCAGCAGATGTGACCCCCTTCCCAGGGGGGCTGAAGGCCGGCTCCCTCCTTGGGGCTGGTGGCCAACCTCCCGGGTTCTTCCTCCTGCACCTCTCCCCTACCACCCACCCTCTGCAGTGGCAGTTGGCCCCTCCCTCCTGCCAGCAGGCCCCAATCACCCCATTGGGGACTGCTGGCCAACCTCCTGGTCCCTCCCCCCGCCAGCAGGTCCCCCAAGGAAAGGAGGATGGGGGGAGGCAAGGAGGAAGGGAACCTGATTGGCCCTGATCGCTGGCCAGGCCTAAGGACCCCACTCATGCACAAATTTCATGCACCGGGCCTCTAATATTCATATAAAAATGTACTATATATAGAACTTGTATTGTTTCTATATGCAACTCTTGTCATTATTATTACCAAAAAAATCACTGTGTGCTTTCTTGTGTTTCTTTGGTCTTTTTTGTTTGTGTTTATTTTTTCTGATAAATACAACCTAGTCTCTATCTTTTCCTTGTATTGTAGCGGTTCTCACTTTAAACCCAGGTTTGCCTGTGAAATAACATCTGCATGAACTCACTGGTGATGTTTCTGCCTATTTTAATCACAAGGTGTCACCTTTAATATTATCTGATTAGGATATAAATACTATTTCAGAATTAAAAGTTATAATCAACATTTTGTGGATTTTCCCAAACATCAAATGTTACTCTTGACCTTTAGCATTCAATCAACAAAGATCTTTCCCTTTGTGATTTAGTTTCTACAATTTAAATTTCATGTGAAATTTAAAACTATTCCGCTTACTCATTTCTTGTAATGTGTTCTTATTCTCGTTTTGTTTGTTTGTTTGTTTGTTTGTTGTTTGTTTTAAATTAAGCAGTGGTATGATAAGTCAAATAAAATAATTTCATTTCATTTTACTACTCCAAAGCTAATAGACTGGATTTTTATTTTGATCAAAATTGACTAGGTGTCACAGCAATAAAATGGACTCACAATCCAGATTAACTGATAAGACTGGGAAGCAAGAGTTTTAAGGCATTTTCAAATAATTTAGATTAAATTTTGGGTGTGTTTTTTTTTTTTAAAATAATCTTTATGGACTAAATGTTAGGACAGTCCTTTTTCATTATGATTCTAATGTTATACGTTTATGTATGTGTAGATGTTAAAAGAATACCAAAATGGCTGTCTTTATATGCAAAAAAGAAAAATCAGATTTCATGTTTTTAAATATAGATAGAGGTTGAAAAGTATAGATTGCTTCTTGAAAGTTTTAATGCATGGTGTATCCATAGTAGGTTTACAGTTGGGCATATGCAAAACACAGAGTTTTTATATTATTATTTATTAATTTTTGTATTATTTCCCTTACAAACAACTGTAAACCTATGTTTGCCCTATCCTGTATAGTGAAAAAGTAGAAACTAGGTACTATTTTATCCCTAGGAAATCTCATGTATGTGAGAATTGGTAGGTTACATTCTTTAATTGGCAGGGATGTTTTCAAATTACTCCTTTTAGGGCTATTACTGATGATCATAAATTATCTTGGCATATTTTCCGAAACTTGCCTTTCTTTATTATGTACAATTCCTGCATCTATTGTTTTATTTATAAGTAAAGTGATGTGTAGCATTGGTTCTTCCCAGGTCAATTCAAAATGCTCATTTTTCAGGCAATTATTTCCTAGTTTATTTCCCACCAAGGTTTTATCTTGTTCCACGGTGCCAATAATTCACATCTTATATTATAATTCGTCTCACTTGGATCTGACCAATAATGATGGAAAAATTTATTGGTAGGGGATTCCTTTTCACAATATCTTCCTGGGAAATTACCTACTTTAAGAGGTTGTGTACCTAAAATCTTACATTTGCATCATCAGTATTTCCTAGCTTGCTTGTCTTCAGGCTCCAACACAAATACCCAAAATAAATAAAGCACCATTTAAGTGAAAAGTGAAAAATACCTTGCTTACCCTGTTTTGTCTTCCTTTTGCATTTGCAGATGTCATCCATACCGTAGGGCCAATAGCAAGAGGCCATATTAATGGTTCCCACAAGGAAGACCTTGCAAATTGCTATAAATCATCTCTGAAGCTGGTGAAAGAAAATAACATCCGATCAGTTGTAAGTACTTTTGTGTTCCTGGTTTCTTATTCTTTTTCAGCCTTTATATTTTGGAAATCAGTCTTGTCCAAAATGAAGGTAGAAAATCATTTCCAAAATTCTGAAAACTGAGTTTAAGAATCTTAGTGATGTCTTGTGTTGGTTATCATGGCTTCACTTTTCTGATGCCCTAAATATTTGCTAAATTGTTCATGATGTTTGGGGATTTAAAACATCATGAACAATTTAGAATTCCAGAACTGGAACCATCTCATCTATTTTCTCTCATTTTGCTATTATCTTTTGAAGAGTGCATGTATGTTTTTACTTGACGGTTGTTATTCTTTTAGATTTATTTTTCTTTTCCTGAACTAATATTCTGTGGTTGGGTATGCCACATTCCTTCTAAGTTTTATCAATTTAGACAGATAGAGTTCAGAAAATGTGGATCTAATCTATTTCTTTACCAGTAGGCCGAGATGAAAGGCAATTTTCTCTAGTTGGATTTAGAGGTATTTACTCACCTGCTTTTCTTTTAAAGCATGTACTACGTTTATTACATGTCAATTACACCAGGAAAATAAAACTATGAGAAAAATGAAAGTGTAAACACACAAGAGTAAGTTAATGTGAGCCGAATCCCTTGAGTCTTTTCACAGAGAATTAGTCTTGAAATTGTGGGGCAGTTAAACAATTGACTTCTTAGAAGGTTGAGTGGATTGGCATTGCCCTGGAGTTCACAAAAGTGGTGGTTTTATTTTTTGCATGAAGAAGCATTGAGAGTCAGACACACTTAGATAACTTGATCATCACTGTATTTTTCATGCATGATTATCATTATAAAGTCACTTTTTCAATGTATGTCAGTGAGTTTGCTTAACATAAAAATACTTTTTACAAGGCAGTTATATAGCCTTTAAAATCTTTGCATAATTATTAATAGAGCTGAATAATTTTCTTTCACTCTTTGATTTTTTTTTTAAAAAAAAGTTCTTTGTAAGTGAGTCAATAAGACCATTCTGTCTTAGAGGAGAAAACTCAGGTTCAGAGACTGGAGCAAAGCAAACTACTAACCCAGTTGGCTAATTTTGTTCTCCATAGGAAAATAAAGAAAATCTAAACAGGTGTGCACATTCAAGGGGTAATTAAAATGTTCTCAATATGGCTTATTGATTTAAAAAGGCAAGGGGCTGAGGTGTTCAAAAAATGGTTATGTATAGACATTTCAACTTGGAAAATATGGACCTTGAGACCTGAAGAGAATTTACTAGTGAATTCAATGACATCTCTAATCTATCCTATCTAATAATAGACAAACATGGTAATTGACCGTACCTTCGCTACACTTCCCATTGGCTAATCAGGGTGATATGCAAATTAACTGCCAACAGAGATGGTGGTTAACCGCCAACAAATATGGCAGTTAATTTGCATCCGTAGGTGCAATGCTGGGAGGTGAAAGGGGAAGGACGGAAGAAGCCACCTGCTGCTGACAGTGATCGGAAACCTAGACGGCAGGCAAGTGCAGGGTGGCAGGGCAAAGGTGGCCCTGGGGGAGAAGCCCCCGGCCCATGATTGGAGAATCAGGGCGGGGCAGGGAAGAGGTGGCTGCCAGCAGCTGCCTCACCCTGTCCTCCCTGGCTAGTGTTCGGAGAATTACCTGTATTTTTTTTTTTCAAAGTACCTGTATTTTTAATAATTTCTTGACATGGTAAATGAATTTTACATTACGATCCAAAGGTGGTGGGGTGAGGAGAAGGAGCAGCAGAACAATCCAACATAATAAAAGCGAA